TCGGCATGGGACAGCGCAGCGCCAGCCTCAAGTTCGAGAGCAAGCGCGGGGAGAAGATCAGCTACCTCCTCATCGTCTGGGGCAAATAGGCGACGCCAATCTAGCAAATAACTCATGTTTCCTAGAACTGAAAACGGAAAAAAAACATCCATGTACGTGATTTCCAAAAATTCTTATTTATGTTTCGAACACGCCAAAAAAGAACACATGTAAACGGGGAGAAGATCAGGAGTGCAGGGACACGTCCAATATGGAGCAGGTGGCTATTTGTCTGCGTACACTTGACATGGGCACGTAACAAGCAGCCGAATACTTCATAGGCCTGTACGCGACCAGTAGCACTCGACGGGACAGGCATTGAAAGACATACTTTTAGACGTCCTTAAACGCCTTTCCCTTCACGTTTCGAATCTATCCGTCCAATGCTTCGACGGGGCGTCTAACACGAAACGGGAATTTGAAGGCGTGCAAGCGAGGCTCAAAGGGATGCAGCCTCTCGCCCTCTTTGTCTACTGCTTCGACCATTCGCTGAACCTACCTCTGCAGGACACCATGAAGGGGTTACCCGGCGCCCGTGAAGCACTTCAGTGGATCCACGATGTCAGCGTGATAGGGTGATTCTCAGAATACGGGCCGTTTAGATTCCGCGGCCCGTCACAACTATGTGGTATGGTTTTAAAAGGTTTTTATGCCATCTAGATACTCGAAAGCACTAATACTACCTGGTGCAACACTAAAAACCTAAGAATACTGCAACAGCAGGTGACTAGAGCAGTTTAAATGGTCAAAATGTGAACTCCAGTACGTTCCTTATGTCTGAGTTCATGCGGACTTTGCCAAATTCCGGACAATTTTAAGGGAATAGTCGTCTAAGGCACATTGCATTTCTGGAGTGACATATCCGGGGAACGCAAGGAATGAATTTCGATGTGGAAATATTTTTCTATATTTCGTCCGGAGACGACAAAGTCGTTCTCACTAACTTTTTCAAAAAGTAACAGAGTTCACAATGTTTCCACTGACGTCCAACTGGGCAGAGGTAGAGTAACAATACTACGCCCACAGTACTACTCTGTGGGCACTATTAATGTTCCCCGAAGCAATCAGCAGAGCTCCTACTTCGTCATCGTAAAAAACTGTCTTCAAATTCGAAAGTTGGCTTCTACGCTTTTGCAGTGTGAATACCGTGTCGCCTCCACACAGGCACGATTGCGTCATATCAAATCCCCCTTTCTATGGAAAGGAAGGTTTTGATGTGCTGCTTCTTTTATGGCTAAGCAGATCCTTGCATCTGCAACCCCGGATTAGTAATGCTTCAATTAGTACCTTTTGACTTGTGCACTCCGTATCCCCTTTTTTAGGTCTGACCTTTGTTTAAAAACTTTTAGTTACAGGCAACGCGTTGTAATGACCTAATGAGGAAATATGTGGGTTAATTTAGAACTGTACATTATGAGGTTGGGCATCTGTGGAGCAGTGTCAGTGGGGCGAAAAACAAGTTATTTATTGCAATGTTCTAGTCATACTAAAACGCATAAAATGGGGATGACTGGATGTGAAATATGTGTACAACACACTTGTGGAGCAAACAAAAGAC